CACCAGTCCAGGCCACTCGCGCCGGGAGCCGGAGCATGCGCAGCTCTGCGACTACCCCGGGCCCGCCTCGGATTCCTCTCTCCGGGTTTTAGTGAAGTTCTCAGCCAAGAAAGCCGTGGCCTTAGCCGGAAAGAATGAGGGGCGGGTTTATTAGCTTCACTCTCAAGGGGCGGGGCTTATTCAGCATCAATCTCAGCAAATTGGTGAAATTGAAAAATTTAAATATCGCATCAAATTGGCGCAGTACCTTCTTTATGGCGTGTGGTTAAGAGGCACTTGCTGAATGAATAAACAAAGTAGTAAACGGTTTTCAGTGGTTTCCAGGGCTCCCTGATTTGACCAATCACGAAGCTTCAGATTCTGTCGTTCAGAGCCAATTGCCCGCCTTCTTGTACGGCTGCCTTAAAAACCAGGAGAAAAGGACTTTACCATTTCTGTGAATTGGGTGGGAAAGCGGGCATGCGCAGTGCGAGCCGATCGCACTGCAGCGGCTTCTACCCTCAACCCTTCCTATGGGGGCTTTAGAGACGTTGCGGGTGTTGCTTTTCAGTTTACCAAAACTTTTACCTCTCTACCATCCTAAGGAAATCATGTTTGTGGTTATTTTAAAGTGTATCCCGCATTGTAAAAGCCACCTTTGCTTTCAAACCTGTCTTCTCTATAATCTTCCCCAATCGAAGATTCCGAAGAAACTTTCCATCCTTGAGCGTCCGGTGCCGGGAAACACTCTACCATTGAAATGTCCCCCCCCTTTTTATCCTCCCAATCACTTCCGCTATCAAGCGCTGTAGGTAACCGTGATTCATCACCTGCCAATCATTCACAGCAGTCACAGGCTGTAAATAGCCCGCCTTTGCCGCCGTTTTTGTTTTGGTCTGTGCTTGAAAGCCGCGAGATCGTGAGCGGAGGCCATGTTTCTTTTGGGCAGATTCCTTGCGATACCCAGGCTCATCGACCAGTGCCTCGCCGCCATCTTAAGTTCTGGCTGTGGCTTCAAGCCCACCGCGCGGCTGCGCAGACTATGTTTTAGGGGCGGCGGCAGTGTTCCCTGTCGCGTGGGGAGACCCTGGGAGTAGAGAGTTCCCCAAAGCGGGAGTCTCCAGAGCTTCTGCAGGTTGATTCAGGGCCCGCTGCCTCTTTTTTCTTTTTTTATTTTTTTTTGCCCGCGGCCTCTGTAGTCTGAGTTCCCCAAACCAGATCCTCCTTCACGAGTGACCGTGGACAGTAACCAAACCAATAAAAGCCCGAACCCACACCCTGCCACCATCGTAGGTAAGAACCTGGAACTCCCGACAACCTGAGATGTTACGTCACTTGAACTGTTTGTCCCTTTCTTCCCATTTTTTCTTTTCTTTCTGAATCCTTCTCCCTGTGCTTCCACCTCTATTGTGTTCAAAGAGCTAAAAAGACGTTAAACATAAGAGTGCGTGCGGGAAGCCTGGACTTTAAAATTGGAAGTATTAGTCTGGAAGTTTTTTTTAGGACAAAATGGACTATAATAAGTGGGTCAGTTATTTGTGGCAAATCTATATGTGCAAATATAGCCCTCTTCCCAAACGTTTTTTGGTTGTGACATAAATACAGGTTGTACATACTCGTTCGTTCGTTCATTCATTCATTCATTCATTCATTCATTTTATACATTTGTTGAGTACCGTAAGAGTGCTGTAGTAAGCTGAAAATAACATTTTCTTTCATGGCGTTTACATTCTGTCAACCTTGACCGCTACTGGGTTGGGGCAAGAAATAGTACAGCTATAACCTAGGGCAGTGGTTCTCAACCTTGGCTGCACATTAGAATCACCTGGGAGTCTTTTTAAAATCCTGATTTCTGGGCCTCATCCTCCGGAAATGCTGTTTCTTTGTTATGGGGTGGGACCACAACATGAGTAATGAAGAAACAGAATTTCCGGGGGATGAGGCCCAGAAATCAGGATTTTAAAAAGATTCCCAGGTGATTCTAATGTGCAGCCAAGGTTGAGAACCACTGACCTAGGTCAGGAGATACTGTGTGTTTGATTCCAGATCACCGTAATGGAGCAAATCGTAATCATTTTGCAGGTGGAAGGTTTTGCCTTGCATTTGTAAAACGTGCAACACCTGTGAGGTGCAAGGACCCGAGGCGTGTCTGTAGACTGCCCTTCCTCACTGCCAGACCAGACAAGTGTTTCAGTATTCACCTGCTCCTGCTCCTATCCAACCCCCTCGCCACTCCCCTCCCATCTTTTCTAGGAGTAAATTGTTTTGACACGTATTTCCTGGAACCTAGTCATAACCATGTTGTAGACCCATTGGTTGATTTTACAACCAGTAATCAAGTTGCTGCTTAAAATGTGGTGTACTTACCAGCAGCATCGCTGTCACTTGGGCGCTTGTTAGAAAGGTAGTCTTAGACCTCATCCTAAGACCCACTGAGCCAGAATCGTCCCTAAAAAGTGCATCCTAAAGAGCAAGGAGCACTCATTCAGGACGTGGACTAAAGACAAAGATCGTCTCTTTTCAGTCTGTGCTGCTTAAATAGTTCACAATATATTGTCAGTTAATTACATGTTTTAAATGCATTAGATATAGGGCACATTTTTCAGTGCTTGTAGCTCATCAACTTGATGTCAAGATACCAATTTAGCCCACGGGCATGGCTCAGTAATTGAGTGGTTAAGTAGTTGAGTGTGGATCTATGTGCCAGGAGGCCATGGTTAGTGTCGAATAAGACTCCCTCCACGTTCTGCGTGGAGTAGGGTTCGGTATCTGAAAGAGGAGCCGCACAACAAATGAGAGAAAAAGACACGAGATAATTTTGCAATATTGGGGGACCAGGCGGCAAGTCCCGAAGGACTTCCTCCCGTGCTCAGGCCTCACCAAGCTTTTATTGATCTGGGATGAACCCATAGCATAGCCCTTAGGCAGGTGACCCCTGGCAACAGGCAGACTAGCCCATCAGCAAGGATTTACATAATAATAAATGGGGGAGTGGTTTCAGCTACCACTGTCTGGACAAACAGAGGTGGCGCCTAGCTCCGACCTTTGCTAGGGTTTCAAAGGCACCCAGCCTTGGGGAGGGGGGAGGGTTAGGGGAGTTCTCTGTCTACGCTTATCAGATAGTGAAGGCAATAAACAGTTTCCCACAGTTAGATTCCCAGTCAGAGTATATACCTGGGTTGCAGGCTCAGTCCTCAGTAGGGGGCTTGCTGGAGGGAGCCAGTCAACGATTCTCTCTCACCATTGATGTTTGTTTCTCTCTTCCTCTCTGAAGTCAATTAAAAAAATATTGATAAATATATATATTTAAAATATATTCCAATTTAGCATTCTAAAAAGTTGAAGAGAATTTGTCAGTCTGGTATGTTGTGATGTAAATTCTGTTCTGACAAAAACCTATGTGCATATTTTTACTTTTAATTTATTAAATGTTGGTCTGCATGTATTTAGCAGTTAAATATTGATTTGAAAAACTTTGGGCCATGGTTTATCAAGATTTTTTTTTTTTTTTTTGCACCTTGCTTTCTTCTGTCTTGCTTTAATGAGAAGTCTAAATCTGATTTATCTCAGGAGTTTAATGTTGCTACTCATGAAAATCACCTGGGGAGTTTTGTAGTTTTTTTTTTAAAGATTCCAGCCCAATGTCAGCAGAGGTTGAGACCTGTGGATGGAATTAAGGAACCAGTAAGGTATTAGACCACCGGTTCTCAACCTGTGGGTCGAGACCCCTTTGGCGGTCGAATGACCCTTTCACAGGGGTTGCCTAAGACCATCCTGCATATCAGATATTTACATTACGATTCATAACAGTAGCAACATTACAGTTATGAAGTAGCAACAAAAATAATTTTATGGTTGGGTCACAACATGAGGAACTATATTTAAAGGGCCAGAAGGTTGAGAAGTACTGTATTAGAGAAACTGCAAATGACTTTTACATTTTCCACATTGTTGTATGTTAGATTTTTATCTCCTGTACATGATTTTACTTTAATTAGGAATTTGAGGGCAGTTAAGATAATCAGACTGGGAATGTGGTGAATCACCTTCTCAGTAATCAATCAACTTGCATTTATTTATTCTATGTCCTAAGCAAGTTGTCCAGCCTTTCTGTCTCTTCTTCCTCCGTCTATTCATTGGGGAAAGCAGAATGAAGATCCTGTTATTTTTTATTTAGACACATGTGAGTGTTGCAAAATGTACTGAATACTTATATCCTGGGAATATAGGGAAGAACAGTATTTCATAAGTGCAGTATTCATTGCTTCTGATTTTCACATAAAAGCATACCTGGTTTTATTGAAGTTCACTTTATTGCATTTCACAGATCTTGGGTTTTTTACAAATGGTAATACCCTCCACCAGTAAAAAGATTACAACTTGCTTTATTGTAATTCGTGCTTTCTTACGGTGGTCTGGAACTTAACCCATGTTATCTCTGAGGTATACTTGTACCAGGCCAAGAAGATGTATTTTTTTTAATGGTTTTTTTTTTTAAACAATTTTATTGAGCTATAATTGTACAATTTTATGTGTTTTACATGTATATACCAGTGAAACCATCAGCACAATCAAAATAATATATCTGTCACCCACAAAAGTTTCCTCTTGTCCATTGTAATCCCTTAGGCCCTTATCATTCATTCGTTTATTCATTCATTCATTCCTTTATTTATCTGGCTGCTGTCTTTCAGGCAACCACTAATTTGCTTTCTGTCACTAGATAAGTTTGCATTTCCTAGCATTTTATCTAAATGGAATCTTACTGTAGGAGCTGTTTTTTGGGGTGGTTGGGTGTTGGAGGAGCTTCTCTCACTCATAACTGAGCGCCATCTTTGTTTTTGTAAGTATCAATAGTTCGTTCCTTTGTAATTGCTGGGCAGTATTTCATTGCCTGGATATACAGTAATTTGTTTATACCTTCACTAGCTAAGTGCCTACTCTTGGGTTGTTTTTATTTTCATAGTGTTAATTTCACATTGCCTTGTTCTTCTCCAGTTTATTTGAATTGGGGGGGAAAAAAAGTAATTATTTGGTGGCCAAATCTTCTACCTAAAATGTAACCAGGAGGTGATAGGGATAAAATGTGTTTGTATTGGGACTTTGCCTTTGTGCAATATTTGAATTGTTTTCTGAGTGAAACATGTTATGGCCTTTTGAAAAGGCGAAATGTATGCATTGACGTTTTAGTGGGCTGTCTCTCGTGATCCATTTTAAGCTTTATTAAATCTTTAAAGTTTACTATTTATATATTACTATTTAGGGATTGATAATAATAACTCATGCACCTTAAGTAATCTACTCATTAAGCAGCAAAATAGAGATCTATGAAGTTAAGCCTAATGTTATAAAACTCCCTTTTGTCAGTAAATGGAGAGTACCACTTATATCTAACGTTGATTGATGTTGTACATTTTCTAAGTCTTTTTGCTTCTATTGTAGCAAAGCAGTACCTTGTGTTTATTATGGTATTGACATTTTGTGCTTGAATAAATCACAGCTGGTCACTAAAATTGGATAGGCTTATGTTAGTTACAGGATAATATATAGAATATTGCAGTTACAGTATCTTGGGCACCTAAAAGTTCAATTGTGTTGTTATTTTGGTTTAGTATACAGTTAGAAAAGATTGGAATTTTTTGTTTTGCAATTAAAAATAATCTTAATTTACATGTGATAGAATTTACTCTTTTATGTATAAATTTCATGAGTTTTGACGAATGCATTGATTATTACAAACACCATCTCAATCAGAATGCAGAACAGTGCCATCAAACCCCCCACCCCGCCCTCCAATTTTTTTCTACTATCCTTTGTAGTGACCCTCCACCACTCCACCACAGTAATCAATGATCTGTTCTCCATCTCGAGTTTTTTCATTGAAAGGATTAGATTTTAAGACAGTTGCACTAATGATTATCAGAAGACAGTTGCATTAATGATTATTTTTCCTGTGGTGAAATGACTGGAAAACAGTAGTTATCAGAGTGGGGCTTTGGTTGATTATGTGCTGTCTTGTGCTCTCAGTGTTTGTGACTACAAGAGGCCTGGTACATGAAATCTGTGCATGGGTAGGGTCCCTAGGCCTGGCCAGTGATCAGGGCCAATCGGGGCCTTCCTTCCCCCAGCTGCCTACTGCCGGCCAGGGCCTTCCTTTGCTCTGCGCCGCCCCCTGGTGGTCATAGGGAGCGGTTGAATTCCTGGTCGGTCAAACTCCTGAGGGGACAATTTGCATATTAGCCTTTTATTATAGGCTGGTTAACAGAGACTGAGCACTCACTGTGCCCAGGCAC